ACTGTGCGGTATGGAAAGACTGAAAAAACTCAAAGAGCGAGCTTGGCCTTCTTTGACACGACAGCCCAAAGGAGAATGAAAATACATTCAATTCTTTTCCCCCGTAGTAACCTCTCATGGCCAAAGATGCTGTGAAGAACTCAGAAAACACAGGAACGGCTTGTTTAGTCAGGCAGCTTGCTTTTTGTAAATTTGAGACACCCTTTTAAGCGGGAAAGGCATAAAATTTACGGTAACTCCATTTTTAACCTTGTTGTTAGCTTTAGATGGCCATGATTACGATATTCAGGAAGGCCGACATTTTTATGAACATTCATGCATTTATTCATTTTTTCTTTTCGCTGTAATAGGCCGATTTTAGATTTGTGGAAATTGTGCATTCACAAATGCTCAATTCGTTAATTTAAGCATCCTGAATAAATAATGCTGCGAAGTTCATTGTTGGCTGCGCGTTGATTATGCCTTTTCTAGATCAACGCCTGGTATGGTTTCGGATATTTTGCACGTTGTAAACAATCACAGCGACCGGTGCTTGTTTGCGGCGACGTCGAACAATGTTCGAGGCATATTTAATATGCTAAAGGCGGTCAGCTTCCGAGATGTATGTCGTTTTTGAATTTGTGGACATTCCTTTTTTCAGTGAACATAAAACTGTTGATTCGTTAGATAACAGGTTTGCAAAATAGTGATAAGGAAATGGTCATTGTTTCACTTCGAAGTCTTGACTGCACTTACCAAATGCAGAGTTCTTGACTACAATTGCAGAAATCATTGGTTTGAAATCAAATACCGTGCGAACACGAAGAGAAATCGAATACTGTTGACAGCAAATTAGTATTTCAACTATTGATTCCGTGGTTAGAGATATGAAATTGCCAAGCTCATCACAGTCTTCAGCGTTAGACTTATAATTTTTTGCACTGTAAATGCTTACATATTATTGAACCGTGGTCTGGGCCTGCTAAAATGGTTCCCGTATGCGTCTAAAAACAAAGCAGCGGTTCAATAATGCTGTTGGTGTAACGGGAGAAATATATATTTTCTTTACATTGTATATTTCCGCTGTTTCAATCAGGTATCGTTATTTTAATGTATAACCACTTTTCTTGCCGTTGTTTCCTTTCGTTTCAACGTCTAATATGACTGTATGTTGTAAATCACTTTTTATGTCAGCCTTAGTTTGAACCATAAACTTCAGCGTAGTTGCAGCATTCTGCCGATTCTTCATAAGATAATGGAGTTTCTCAGTCTATAAAGCGTCGGACTAACAGTTAATGAGCGCTGTGTTTGATTCTGGTCACTGGCATATCTTTCCTTCTTCCGGTGTAGATAAATGGGTTCCACTTCGTAGAATGAAAATAGGGGACTACCTGTTAAAGTGTTTATTGCACTCTATTCGACCTTATATCAATCAAATTCAAAATGAAGCTGGAAAAGCTACGGCCCCTGAACCAAAACAAAGCGAGTCTTGCAAAAAATGGTACGGCAACTACGCCATGTTTGTGATCCTATGCGCAGGTGATTTACCATTGCACTTTCCAAATCTGAACTAAATATGTACGTAAGCATAACCTCGGTGATATGAGTTTACTTGCAAACTGCTAGTTTTCGGTACTGCCGGTAAGAATAGCAGTCTTCTGTCAATTTTCCAGATTTATAGGAGAATCATAGGCGCTCAGTTTCTTTGCTCCTAGCTATACAGGAAGCGATTTAAGAACGCTACGGCTCCATATATTTTAGTACCTTCAGTTCATGGATTAAAAACCGCATCAGTGTGCGGTGTACATTTATATAATTAAATGAAAAAATATTTAAATAAACCGATATGTAAACTTTAATCCGAAACCAGTACCTATATCCCGTTCAAAAGTTCAAAACCACTGAGGAACATCTACTACTCTACTACTGTGGTGAATTTTATGTTTGGAGTGTATTTGGTCTCTCGCATTATAAGTCAGAAATGCATTTTATATTATAGCTGTCCTAAAATGTTGATTCAGTGAGTAATTCACTTTTTCATTAGGAATTTCTAACTTTTTTCTTCACCATTTTGAGGACGTGTCGTCAGCATTATAATCTCAACAAAGGTATTATTTTAATGACGATCAATAGTCGGTTCAGTAGCGGATGGATAAACCCTGTGTCAATTTTCTGCTAAACAATGCTTTCTTTTTAAACAGTTCATTAGAAAATTTGCTCTAACCTAATCTCTCAGCCAGATATGAGAACAGTAGAATTCGTTATGCGCAAAATTCAACGTCATCTTTTGATTGTGGTGATTAATTTTGAAAATTAATTTTAAAATTTATCTCGCGAGACTTGCCTG